GACCCGGCAAATTGAGTGCATGGAAGCAATTCAGACTCGTGTTTCACATATACGTGTCAGTTACTCGTTTCTGTCCTTGAAAAACCTTACAGGCACTCCTTATACGCGAATCTGCCAACTTTATATCTCCTTTCTTTTTTAATAATGGACATGCATTCTCCACTTGGTCAAAATGTGCGGCTCGTCGAGACGAATCTAATGGCACCAATAACTCCATGTCGTGCAAAATGTTAACTACGTATTTTTGGCCTTGGACGGCAGCAAAGCGACGGCAGTAAATAACTGTGGCCCACTCCTGCGCGGAAGAGCGCCGCATTTGTAAACTGGAATCACCTGGTGCACGCGCTTGCGCGCCGGTGATTGAAAAGTGGTCGGATGTCATGTTCCGTGGTAAAACGCGCGATATTTTACCAATTTTAGGGTGAAACTACTCCGAACGAGTTCATCCTGGGTTCCTTTTTGCGGTCCAAGCTGAAGCGATTCAGGGCCTCTTCATCAACCGCGAATTTGTAGCCAAAGTGAATGGAAGTATGGCTGGTCATGGTAGGGCTGGATTCAGAGTGCGCCTTGTGATGGAAGAGGTTGATGATTTCAGGAAGAAATGCTATTTTTACGTCAATATTTTTCGAGAGAAATATGTTCGGAACCTAATATACCGCATCTGGAGTTGTTTCTACCAAGATGTGTGTACCTCTGACAGTTTGATTTTAACTGTTGATGGTTTCTTCATTCCACCTGGGGAAAGTACTCTCGTATTGAAGGAAAATGACACTATCAGGTGAGACGTGGTTCAATCATTTAGTTGTGCATGAACTTCTCTTGTACTGGATGAACATTTCATGACAAACTTTCTTTGTGCTCAGTTGCAAGCCAGGCCCAGATGGGGTCATGGTACTATCCTTACATTCTGGCAGTTGGTGTTATTTATATTAGATGCCAGTAAGTAATGCCAGTCTTTGTTATCACCCATGTGGGTACACTAAAAAAAATGCATGGTCAGATTGTGCCATGGCAAGTTTGATCAATGCTTGCATGCGTCATGCGAATGGTGCTATGTGTGTTAGCCGATTTAACATCAACGTGTGGTGCTATTTTGCACATGATGAAGTTAAGTCTCAACACCTTGGTCCTTTTTTAAGCCTTGACTGCAAAGGTATGTTTTTATGCTTTATGCCCCAGGAAACAAGGCCACAAAGTAGGCATATATTCATGTTATTCTGAACCTGAGTTGCATTGCTGTGGGATAGCATTGAGAATTTCAACACATGTATGTTGTAAATCCAAGATCCCAGAGTTTATCTCATAGTTTGTTGCATGGCTGCTGACAATTACAGTGCATGAATAGCCAGTGTTTCACAGAGCTGGACTGATGCAAAGGTGATTTCAGGCAAAAATATTCCACAAATTTTTATGGAAAGCTTAGAAATTTCAATACAAGTTGTCCTGGCCTGAGCTTGGCACCTAATAGCATGAGATTGAGTGCACCAATGGCATGTAGGTGTCCAGCAAAGTGTGCATTTTTTGAAGACTGGCCAATAGACATATCCACAGTTTAGACACTGCTGTTGTTGAAATTAGGTGCAAATTACATTGGAAAATGAGAATGCTTCTTATAGCAGCTATGTCTAGAGTGCTTTCATCCTGCTATCAATCTAATATGGGTGGGCAGTCATATAAAAGGTCTGTAATTGGATCTGATATTTGTTACTTTACTGTGGTAAGCTTGTACACTTAGTTTTGTGCAGCTACCCTGATTTCAGAATGTTTTTCTTGGGGCTCAACAAACAGTTATGGGCAGCATCATTTGCAAAAAAACTTCCTTTTCAATTCTGGTGCATTTCTGTCAATGTAGCACTTTATGTGTAAAAGGTAACATTTGGCTTTGCATGAGCTAGAAACCAGCATTGTCATTTGCTGACCTGGTGACCTGCATAGTGTGCCAGTCTCAGGACACTTAAGTCCATTTTTTTTACCTTGCTATTAACACAAGTGCAAAATGTTGTCACACAAAATCACTTCATGCATCATGATTACACTTATCATTGATTGCTTTCAAAAACCAGTCAGATATACATGATTAGCCAGCTGAAGCTGACAGCAGGCAGTTGAGTGCCTGAGTCACCACCGCCGCTGAAGCTGCCACCGCTGCTGCCTCAGCTGACGCGGGCATGTCCTGCAGTGTACAGCTGCGGCCGCAGGCGGCGGCCGGCGCGCCGGCACCAGGCGGCGACGTGCGCTCGACGGTGGCGCCCCTAACGGCGGCGCCCGAGACGCTGGTGGAGTCGGTGGCGCTGGTGCTGCGCCGGCTGCGGGACGGCGTCGGCCCGGTGGACTCGGCCCGCTCCGAGCGGCACCGCCTCATGCGGGTGCGTGTGCTCGGCAGGGCCAGATCATCATGCTCAACATTACACATTACCCCAGTGATGTGTTATCCCTTATGTGAATTTTACTGGGTGCAGTTGCTGTAGCAGACCCACCCATTCCTTCGGGATTTGGTCCCATTACCATCTCAGTATCACCCCTGCTGGCTGGACCCATCACTGCCAATTGCTCACCTGGCCATGGTTGCGTGAATTCTCTTATCACTTCAGCTCCATGGCATTGGCTGTCAGCTTGGCTGTGTGTGACTCAAGACATTATCTTGAAACAGCTAACTTAAGATCTCATGACAGCTGTGTATTAGATCCAGTGCAGTATGTGGTTCATATCTACACACATGTATCAATGACAGTGTGGCATTGAAGGTGCACAGGGACTATGTCCCCATCCCCAATTCACCATCCAATGTCCCCAATATGTCCCCAATTCACCATCAACATTTGCCAGTGTGGCAAGGGGAGAGAGCTTCCCAGGCAGCCAAAGCCAAATGATATCAACTGGATAATCAGACCAGCATTATGAGTATCTGGTTGCAATGTTGAATGTTATATGATCTCTGTGATTGAGGAGTAAGACTGATGGGATTCTTTTACTGCAGCGCGTTAAATCAAACCAGAGAAGTTGTTAGTCGCTCGAAGCTGAGTTTCCATTCATGACCGACAGGTGGCAGAGATGATGACGGCCGAGTCGGTGAGCACGGACGCGAGCACCGACGACGAGGGCGTGCGGGACCGGGCCGGCGGTCCTGACTGTCCCAGCGGGAGGTCAGTCGGGTCTCGTTGATGCCGCGCGAGGCCGCTCCTCCCCGTCCCCGGGGGCCAGGTCGCCAGCGGTCTGTTTAATCGGCCCGGTGCCGCCGGCCGGCGTGTCCAGCGAGAGCGCCAGCTGGCAGGCTTTGACGGGCGGTGGTCAGGAACGCGGAGACCACGTGGTCGTGAACGGTCGCGTGGCTTGCATTCAAAATACACAGCTATTGATGTGATGCGCGATAGTTCGCACAATGGTTCATTTGCATGCGAGATTTCATCGTTCGGGATGCGTATGCGTGCACTGAATTTATCCAGGGTGTTGCGGACATGTGCAGCGCTGGCCGGGGGTGTCCGCCCGCTCTCGCAGCGCTGCCCGCGTGCCTGGCACCGCGTGACGCGTGCGTGCGACGCCGTCAGGTGGAGCGGCTCTCTCGGAAGATAGCTGAGCAGGCGACGCCGCCGCCGCCGTGCGCGGCGCGCCGACACGGCGGCGAGCTGGACGGCCTGACCCTGACGGAGGTCAGCCGCGAGCTGCGCCGCCGGTACGAGACCGGGCGACGCCGGCCGCGGCCCGGGTCGGAGCCGGCGGCCACCGAGCCGGCCGCACCACCGGCCGCGGCGCTGGAGCCGGCTGACGAGGCGGCGCAACCCGCGACGGCGGCAGCAGCGGCACCGGCACCGGCACCGGCACCGGCCGGAACCGACCGCCAGCCAGCGGCTAGATCGGTGGCGGAGGCTGTGAAGCCGATCTCGCCGCCGGCGGACGAGGTGGTGGAGGCGGCGCCGGCCGCCAGGAAGCGCGCCCGCTCCTCCAGCGGCGAGTCCGACTCTGAATCCAGTGACGCCGCCGCGGCCCCGGAGAGGCGAACGCCAGCCGCCAAACCCGCCGCCGCCGACGCTGAAGCCGAGGCAAAAGCCGGAGCTGACACCGCCACCGTCGAAACCGGGCAGCCGGCCACCAAGAAGACGCGGACGCGGCGCAGGCGAGGCAAGAAGCGCCGCGAGCCGCCGACGCCGCCCGCGCCGCCGGCGGCGGCGGCTGTACCACCACCGGCCGACTACGCCCGGCGCCACGGGCTGCCGCGTGCCGAGATCGACCGCTACAAGCGCACGGCATCAGTGGGCCTCGTCTGGCAGACACGGCCCAAGAACCGACGCATCGTGTTCGACGACTGCGGCAACCCGGTGGAGGCCGACACCAGTGAGGCGGCGGCGCGAGACGGCGAGGGCGGGCAGTGGCGCTGGGGCCGGGGCACGCCGGCCGGTCGCGAGGTGCGCTGGCGGGACGAGAACGAGGGGAGCCGCGCCGCGCGCGCCGGGGAGGACGCTGACGCGCGGCGGGAGCAACGGCGCGCGGCGGGCGCTGAGGCGAGCCACAGTGCACCGACGCCGTCGGCCGGCGCGCCGCCCATCAACAGCCGTCTGATGGCGATGGTGGACCAGACGCCGGCCGGCGCCGAGCGGCGGGCAGAGCCGGTCCGGGCGCCGGCCGGCGGCTCGGCCGCGCGCCCCGCACCGCTGGGCGCTGGCCTGCTACCGCGGGCCTTCATGAGGCCGCGCCGCTGCATCGACCCGCCCCGCCGGGCCGACGCCGTGACCGGCGCCGGCAGCGCGCAGACAACACCGGCCGAGCCTGCCGACGCCAGGCAGACGGGCGCCGGCGTCCGGGATACAGGGGATGGCCGGCCCGACGGCGGGCCACGGGCGGCGCCCGCCCCCACCGCTCCCGTCACTGCCCCAGCCTCAGCCCCAGCTGCTGGCGGCACCGCCGACCCCGCCGCCACCACCGCCGCCACTACGCCGCAAAAGACCGTGTTGCTTGCCGGCGACGGCCGGTCGGCGGCGCCGGGCGCTGGACATGACCTGCGCTCCATGGCGGCGCAGGCCGGCCGCCAGCCGCTGCTGGTGGTGCGCTCGGAGCGTGCCCTGCCCGGCCGGTCGCCGTACGTGGAGGTGACGCGCGCCAGACTGCATGCGTCACAGGACAGCAGATCAGACGGAGGTGTGGGACCGGACAGCAGGTCTGGTGGTGGTGGGCCGGTGGACAGGCCGGACGAGGGCGCGGACCTGAGCGCGGCCTCGACCGCCGACCGGTCTGACTCGGCGAGCCCGGCTGGGCGACGAGTACCGCAACACGTCCGTGGTGTTGCCGGGCCGGCCGCTGAGCTCCGCCGCCTCCTCCTCCTCCGAGGGGAGCTCCGAGGAGAGCTCCCCGGGCGGGCGCGGCGCCCGCCACCCGCCGCCGTCGCCGCCGCCGCCCATCGCCAACGGCACCCCGGCGGCCACCGTCGACAGCATCGGCAACTGCAACGTCGTCAACGAGGTGGGCCAGAGCCGACGGCTGGAGAAGCAGCGGGCGCGCCGCCTGCCGCCTGGCGGCGAGACGGGCGACTGCTCGCCTCCGCCGTGCATGCTCCCCAAGGATGAAGCGTATTACAGCCAGTTTCCAGTCATGAAGGAGCCGCCGCGACGCCGCGACATCGTCGCATTTAAGGTACGTGGGTCGGCTTGCTCACGCGTGCTCGTTGCGGGCCAGCGAACACCTCGAATCAATAGCAGTTGGCCACGTGTAGAGCGGTGCTGACGCCGGCGGTCAACATAACGCGACCTTTGAAGTACGGGGACGTCGGACGCCAGTCTCCGTTGGCGGCTGCACTCTGCCGTGTCGGCCGGCGGAGGTGACTGGGTCTGGCGCCGCGCGCTCGCCGGGGCTGGATGGGGTCGAGTGGGCCGGCTGCTGTTCCGCTCGGCCGGCCTGATCGCTACTTTTGCGGAGTCAATTCCGCGCTGCCGGCGTGGCGATTAACATCAGATTGGCCGCATTAACTCTGAATATTCCGCCAGTAACTCACCGTGTCGCCGCGTCGTTTTGTGAGAACGGTTAATTTCGGACCCATTTGTGGCTGGGAGGTTTCATTTTGCGTCTGCTTGACGGATGTCTCCGCCGCGCGGTTGCAGTGCTGGGATATGGATGAGCAGTACAGTCCGTACATCAGCGGCTACCAGGAGGCCACCGTCATGGAGGTGTCGGACGGCGGTCAGCTGACGCTACAGCTCCTCGGTCAGTACGGCCTTGCAAGGGCCGGGTCAGTACCGCCTTGCATCGGCTCAGTCTCAGGATGTATGTTTTTTGGACATGTTTTGACGTCTCACGTGACTGTTTCGGTGTCCAAACGCTAAGGGCGAGTTTAACGCCAACAGTGCTCCGATATGTTGTGTAATTCAGAATGGAGGTTCCGTCGGCTGCTGCCCCGGGCTGATGTGGTTTCCGTTCCCATGATGGACTGAAAGTTCTGGGATACGCGTGAGGCTCAACGGGAATGTGGACTCCCGTGTTCAGTTAAAAACAAACATTGGATCGGGCAAAACCAGGCAGCAATCACGCGCTGTCTAATGTCTGAGTTCGTCCGGCGTCCGCCGCCGTCAGGCGAGTGGCGACTGCTGACTTGTCCCGGTTCCGGTCCGGTACCGGCAGCCGCAGCTGACCTGAGCTGACCTCGACCCGCAGACTACCAGCCTCGCGGGCGGCGGCAGGGCCGCTTCGAGATCACCTCCGCCGACGACGACGAGATAGTCGACCTGGAGGAGGAAGCGGGCATAGTGGAGAAGGCATGGTCCGAGCTGTTCCAGCCCCGCCTGCTGCACCCGTGACCTGCCGGCTGCGTCGCGTCGGGGGCGGCGGATGCGGTCAGGTCCGTGTCGGTGCCGTGGTTCGCCCCGGCAGCTGCCGGCCGGTCTGTGGTTAGTCGGCGAGCGTGCCCCGCGTCCCCTGCGGACGCCGCCGGCGTGGTGTCCCACCGGCGGCTCGGTTCAGAGCGGGCTCACCGCTGGCACCCCTGCGCGGCCGGCGAGGGTCGGACGCGGAAGTCACAACGTCAGACTTATTGTGCGGCGTCCGGTGGCGGGGACGGCGGCGGCGTGAAGGCTGTGTCTCAGGGCGGCTGTCGTGAGGACGAGCCGGAGTGGCGTTACCCAGCGGCGGATGCTCTGAAAATACAGACAACTGCACTCCCGTGTATTGACTCTGGAGGGGGGAATGAGAAGAGAGAGAGAGAGAGAGAGAGAGAGAGAGAGAGGGGGGGGGGGGGGAGAAGAGAGAGAGTTCCGCTGCTGCTCCGTCAAGCTGAGGTATATATGAGGACGGCGATGAGCCAGGCAGGATTTAGAGCTCATCAACTGGATCATGAGCCCCAGACGCCATGCCAAAGAATTCAAAGGTCCTTGGGTTAGCCCGCTTGGGCGGTGCAGGCGGTTCCAACAAATGGCTTGCCTCCGGACTGTGCTCCGCGTGCAGCACACGCATATATTTTGAGCCACTTAAGTAATAAAACTGACTTCAACGTTTCACTTTTAGTCAAGGCTTCATTAGGAGGGTCTCGCTGATGCCGCACAAATTCACCATTATAAGACAAAAATCATACAGCGCGTGACCGTACATGTTTTGACGCCTCGCGAGCAAAGTTGGAAAATGCTGGGGCTAGCGATTTGAGCGCCATTAGCATATACCCACGTAAACAAGTCGTGGGAGGGAGAAAGAGGGAGATATTTTAAGAATATAGTAATCCAGCCATTATAGGTCTCATCAGCACACAAACAAAGAGGGGATAGGACGTCAAGAGGGAAGAAGGCATTCAACACTGCAGCCCGGTTATCTTAGAAATTGACCAGCGCGCACGTTCTGTCCACCCGCTGTGCCCACAGTACGCAGAAGTTTCATCCCATGTATCTTCATCACCCGCTTGTTATCTACGCTTTGCTTCCAACCCCGCTCCAATCCAACCACTTTCGGGTCATCTATGGTACGGATAGATGTGAGGAAATGTCTCCGCACGGGCAGATCAACAGTTGGATCTGGTGATAGGATACAGGAAAGATATTCCTGTACGCGCGCTGATGTACTGCTCCCCCCCCCCCCTCGTCTCCCCACACAGATCAACGCCCGGCATTTTTCATACCAGATGCCATAAACGACCCTGCATGACTTGCAGGTGTCACAAGCACGCAAACAGACAAGGGGTCTGTCACAAACACATCCATTCCGATCACCCAGGACCTTGTCAATTCACAAGTGCATTCGCCTACAAAATACGCACCCCTTTCCACAGTTCTTCAGGTCCTATCGGTCTCTGTAGATGGCCCGCCTCTGTGGATTAAATCACCTCTTAGGCTGGTGCCACGGCAGAGGGCCACCAGAAAATCACTGGGGAAAAGCTTTGTCGATGTTTTTTTTTAATTCTGCAGGATATGGCGTTTTACCTGTGGGGCCTTCTTTACTTCCGGGAAGTGCTTAGAGAGTAGGCCTAAATCAGCGGGATCCTGTTACCCTGCTTCTGACCCTGACCTGGCGACCTTCTGTTTCGGACTTGATCCTTGTCTTTCTCCTGCGACTCCGCCCTCCTCAGCACACCTTCCATTACATTATGCGGTTACCCCCTCTCTATTACCCTGACCTGTATATCGCCTCTATGCCGTACACAGTCCTCCCCCGGGCGCAAACTCATCATCATCAGCATCAGCAAACTCATCATCAACTCATCAGCAAACTCATCATCGTCATCCGCCCCTAATCCAAACGGAATTCCATGAATTTGGAGATCATTCGCTTTTACAAACGAACTCGAACATATACCAGTAACCAACGATAGACGACTGGTTCAGGCGGCAAAAAGCAATCACTTGTTTAATAATTATTTGAACCACAATTAAGTTTGCATAAATTTAGCACCTAGTCTACATGTTATAAAACGCATCGAGCTTGCTTGCGATGCAACTTCTCGATGACAAAAATACAGAAACAACTTGTCCCGCCATGCTATGCAATTCAACCCGGGGGGGGGGGGGGGGGGCGGGCAGGTTGTCTGATTTAAAAGAATGTCACTTCTAAGTCATTTACCACAAACGAAGCCGTGGTCTGATAAGACAGGAGCATTAGCCTCATTCCTCGGATAAAACCAGGAGAATGGAGATGTAGTTGGGTTAACCCGACTATATTTCCATTCTCCTGGTTTTGATTCGGAGAAGGAGGCTAATACCACTGACTTATCCATGTGAATAAAGTTCCTCGCTAATACACTGAACACCTTACGTAATTTTGAAGCCGTGGTCTCATAAACTCCACCGCTGCATATGAGGCTGAAGGTTATAGCTGTCTGGAGACATAAGAATCTTAGTCCAATCCTTACCGGTTATGGCAGAAGGAAACCCGGAGTGGAAACTGATGCAAGTCTTCCTACTCTCCCCTGCTGCACGCAAGACGTCCCAAAAGGATGGAAAGACAAGTTGCATAAAAGCAGCTTCGAGTGCCATAAAGCATCGCCAACGAGTGTGAGACCCATTATAAGAGTTTTACATTGACACCAATGCATTCGCGTCAAAACGGCTGTGGACGACGGTTATAGTTGTGGGTGACAGAGCAAACACGAGTATGCCCTCCACAGCGTTGTAGGCATATTTTGATCTTATTGGGGTGGTTTTCAAAAACATGCTTGCGTGCTTCCTTGAATACAAATGTTACAATCGCCTTCCCATCAGCCTTCAGGTCTTTCGCTGTCTTTGTTTTGGTCTTGGACACTTGGTTCTCTCAGTAGTCGAAGTCGCTCCGCACAGGCAAAAGTGAGGCTCGCCAGAGAACAAGACGTGGTTGATTCATTCACTGTGCGGGCTCATCTTCCCCTCGAACTGGTGACACATTTCGGTCCACGCCGCTTTGTCATGCTGGTCAAGGCGTCCTCATCGTGTGGTTTGTATGCATGGAAGTCGAGCTCGTCCTTCAAAATGTGGCCGACTGCCGCCTTCCGCATTCCATTTCATGGGACCATTGTTGACGGGAGTCTGCGGACGATGACCGTACAGCTCAGGTATTATCAAGCATAGATCCGTGTTCCTTAAGCTTCCGCACTCGCAACGTATTTTCTGATCGGTGTATTCCACACTCCCAAACTCTGCAGAACAGGCGGGCAAGAGTGGCTATCGAACTAGCTTGACAATCAAATTCGATTACGTTGTTTGTTTCAGGTGCTTTGAGATGCATAATGGAAATAAGACATGAATTTGACGCTGAATCTCCCAGGTTTTATACACCACAACGCAATATCATAACGTTTCTTTGAGTCGTGCGTTGTTAGATGAACACTATTTTAAAATACATTGTCTCTTGCAACACGTCTACATTTAGTTCTGACACGCACTGCCCAAAAAGACCGCGTTGTTGATGCTGATATTGTCCACGGATCGGATATCGATATTGATCAACGTTGACAGCGTACACTATGGCAGACTTTGCACTGGTTTCCGTAATCAGGTGATCCAGGTTCCAGGGATCCAGGGTTTCCGTAATCCAGGAACACCGATCAGCGATGTCGCGGGCGGATTCATGGAGGCAAATGCACTCTTGGCGTCATGCTCGACATTAGCCTTGACGTCATGGAAAAGAAAAGCTATGCCCAAGGCTAGGAAAACAAATGCAAGCGGCTCCCATGCATAGAGATCTGCTTCCAAAGCAGCGAGTGGCGATCTCCGACAGAAATACCAGGAGCGCAAGCACACTCCAAACGTTTTGCTGTGGTACGCGACTACGCAAATCAAGTATCCCCCATATAACCACTCTTATAAATACAGATATATTATCAACTAAGTAGTATCCTACTTCATATGTATATTGTGCACATGTGCTATATGAGTTGATACTCGAAGCCATGCTTTTCTCAATAAACCGTCTCTCTCTCTCTCTCTATCTCCCCTCTCGACTCTACGCTGGACGAGCCGCGATGTCTTTCGCTAGATCTCGACTGCCGCCTATCGACTCCTGGAGCTCGAAGAGCCCTTCACGATCATAGCTCTCGCTACTCTCGTATCTCTATCTCTTCTCTCTCGATCTCTCTCTCTATATCTCTTCTCTCTCTCTTTCTCCCTCTCTCTTCACTCTCCCCTCTCTGCGCAAAATGTTCGATATTATACCTTCCTACTAAGTTCGTGACAGAACAATATTTGAAAGCGGTTCTTTGTAGCTCCTACGGAAAAGTAATTATTCATGTTATCATTTTCAGGTGAAGGTATCTGGAAAAAGCTTTGTCAGTATTCGACCAAACCCATCCCGGGTGCTGCCAATTGATAACTGCATCACAAGTCGCCTGTCACATTCGTATAAAAGAGATAATACGTGATCGCGGAAGCTGGTCTGCATATTCCGTTCTTGGCAAACGACCCTAATATTGGATGAGCTTTAATGCTTGTATGCTCCGGTATACTCATCCACCCTTGAATGCCATGGTATGTGGGCATGACAAGAGTTCACATGTTCAAGTCCGACATGGGAAAATTTGGAAATATAGCTGACGACGAACACTGGCGCCTGACCTTCACGCACATCCCCACGCCGGACCCAAAACGTAGTGCCACGCACTGCAGTGGGCTTTGGGATCTTCCCTTGGTTAGCCGGGCGCCCGCCACAGATGACCATGGTCATGTCCCCATCCCCTTGAAACCTATTTCATGGGGCACGGATGAAGCTTTCCAGATGCACAGCACAGCGAAACTTCATTCGAGCGTTGAAAAGCTGATAGTGCGGTCATGTTAAAAGCCTAGTCGATATAGAAATCCCTGAATTCGTTTAATTGAAACCCAGTTTGTCACCCGTGTGCTTGTTTATCACCTGTCATCGGCGGACGATTGTCTCTTGGAACAACCGGGATACAACACTCCTATGCATTTAAACAAATAAATCTGTAACATATGTCTGTGTTTTGAGTGTGTCCGCTTTTTCCAAAATCAGGGGGCAGACGTGCGTGTGCACGCACGAATGGACGTGGTATGCGTAAATATGGTTTGAATGGTTTCATGGATGGTCTTGAATGGTTTCACCTTTGTGGCGATCCGCAGCATAAATCTACGGCTACCAAACGGCGACTGTCGTTATTACACGAGAGAGGGCGCATGTTTGTGGCAATTAGCCAAACGGCTTTTCGTGTGTGAGTAAAAAACATCATACGCAAAGGCCAAGCTCAGTTGCG